AGGGGTAGGGGACTTTTAAGGGGGAACCATTGGAGGAGAACCAACCCCTCCCTTAAAATTCCCCCTAAATTAAGGGATATTCAAGGGATCCCTTGGAGATGCTCTCACAGTTTGGCCGCACAAACAAAAAATATATATATTAATCGATGTCTATTATATCTTTTATGCTTAGAAGAGCTTGTGGCTTGACCTTGTATGAAGCCATGGCCATGGTGGACAAAGCTTATTGTTGCTCATATATTTATTTATTATTTATTTTTCTCCATGTGTGATATTTGTTTCCATGGCCATGGCAGACACAAGAGCTTATTGCTGCACTTACCTTTATTTATTTATTTACTTTCGTCTTCATGCATGATATTTTGATTCTTAGCATATGATTATAATGATTCTATACTTAAAAAAATTGTTATGTATACAATGCTTAACCATAGTTATATGGTACAGTATAGTATGTAAGTTAATTTTAGTATAGTTAATTAAATGGTGTATGATAATATCGTAAGATTATTTTAATTGGTAATTCGGGTCTTAAGTTATATGGTAATTTTGATGGTTATTTATATATATTATGTAGGAATCCCAAGTGATTTTGAGGAGGCATCGTGACTGGTATTCCGATAGTCTTTCGGATTTGAGTAAGTGGTGAATTCATGCATTGTGCACTGCGTATTTTTCATATAAAATTATATTAATTATATGCGAAATTATTTTTGATGGATTATATCCTTTTGTGTGATTTACTCACATGTTAAATGTTGATTCGGAGGTGACGCACATGAAAATTTGGTATAAGCATAATTCTTTGTCAATTGTAATGTCTTTTCATATATTAGTAGGTTGAGATGAATATGTGGTTGATTGATTTTACTATTGGTTGGCCTTTGGCATTTTTGTATTACGTATTTAATTTTACGAACTTTGTTTAATTTTCTTAAAGCATATGCATCTCAGGTCAATATACCGGTATATATTAGGGATAAGTAAGTCATCTAAACAGAACTCAATGTGCTTCTATGAGGTTTTATTTTAACGCTAAGAGCCCAAGTTTGGGTATCACCGTCCCGACCACGGGCTATATAATAGCGGGCTTGTCAAGTCAACCGGAGTATTGAAGACCGTATTGAGTTGTGAACTAATTGTATTATTTCATTCTTTTCAGAGACTCAGGATTAGGTGGAGTTGATGGTTTTTTAAATTCTTAGAATGGAGCAAGAAATATAATTTGAGATTGTTATTGTCTTCTAGGTGAAGTTTAAATAAAGTCTTTGATGTTTAGTTAATGAATTGAGAGTTTTGTAATAATGAGATTCTTTCCTTTAGGTTGAGTTTTATTTCAAGTTGAAGAATATTTGTTTTTATCAAGTTAATTGGATTAATCTGGACTTTTGGGATTATAGAGAATATTTATTGTTGGTTTTAGTTCAATGAAGAGATTATTTTGATGGTCTTTTAATGAATGCATATTTTTGAATGATTTTTCACAGGTTTAGTCCGGTTCCAATATTCCTTTTAGGTTCGGAATTTGGGGTCATTCGAAACTTAACAGTACAACATTTTTGAGGGAGGAACGGTGAAAATACTCATAATTAACATGCTCGAGGTAGACTAATTTAAAAAAATGAACAACCAACAAGGAAGCTCTTATTCAGGGAGTTACAAATGATATCTCAGCCTAATGTCAGCCAGCCACCGAGAGAGAAAAAAAATCTTTGAATTCTGTCGACTTTTGACAGCATACGATGAAAAGGGTAAAATCTGTTGAAATCCTTCGATAGTTTATATCTAGATGGTTTATGTATAGCAGATCATATCTAACGGTACAGGTTTTCAATTTTGAAATTCAAAATTCTAAATTTGGACGGAGACATGATAGTGTCCACATTTTGGATACTATTAATGGTAGCATAGCCAAGCCAAATCATGTGTGCATCTGTGCGCAAACAACTTTAAGCTCTACGAAGTTGTTTATCTTTTACCTAGAAATCTATGTTTTTCATATTCCATAGACAAGGAAAATTTTGTGCATAGTGTTTATTTAGAAATTACTAAAAATACACAGGGGGAAAAAAGTAGTTTTGAAGCTACAGTATCAATTAAGTAACCTCTGCCTCTGTTGCTTCATGAAAACAGCAAACAATTTCTCTATTCCAGATTCCAAAATTCCAAATTCCAAATTCCAAATTGACTTTTATTTATTTACCCTTTCCCCCCTATTGCCAACAGGCCACTATTCAATCACACGCTACGTGCTACTAACTATTCTCAAAACAAGAAAATTCTCAAGAAGAAATCACCTTGTTCTTATCTATTCTCTTGACGGCGACTCGGTCCCCATTGCTCTTATCAGTGGCTACAAAGGTGTACCCAAACTGGCCATGGCCGAGGAGCTTTCCCTTTGCGTACCTGCCCTCGAAATCTTTGGCGTACCCAAAATCTGTTCTTTTTCCACAGGATGATCTCCTCGACGTCGATCTCTGCTGCTGCTGCTGCCGGTGGTTTGGATCCCGCTGATCTTGGCGAGCGCTGGAACCGGATACTCTCTGAGAAGAAGAGACGCACGCGCCCATTATTATTGAATTGTTTTAGGGTTTGATATTGAGATTGGAGATAGAAGATGGTCATTAATGCTGGTCAATGGAGGGAGATTATTTAGGTTTGTTTATTTATTTTTATTTTATTTATCTGCTGGCTTTGGCGAAGGGGAAGGGAGGTGGAAGTTGTTTGAAGGCAACTCCTCTTCCCTCTCTCACTAGCTCACTTCATATAATAATTCAAAGAGACATTTCCTACGGATGCACCGAAGTCTTTTCTTTATCTAGAAATAATAATAATAATGATTAAGTAGTAGTATATTATGTTGCGTGTATTATTCTTTGATTTCACATTTGCCAGTTGGCTGGGAGAGAGATGATTCACACGAACCATACCATCACGTTTGAGGAATTCCTACATGTAAACATTTCCTTTGAATTTGTCAAAATTCAAAAAAAAAAACAATTTTTTTTTTTTGAATGAGCCTTTGAGACTGAGGTAGCATTAGCAAGATATTGGAAACTTCATTTGGTGCTTAAAGCTTTGAATAGTATTAAGACTTTAGAAATGAGAAAAAAGAACGAAAGCATTTTGTTTATCCTGTCCTGAAATCCACAATATCTTGACTTCAAGCATGTATTAATTATAGATCAGGCATAATAACCTTACCGAAGGCATAAACCTTAACGAAAGAAAATAGACTATTGTTATTATTTTTTAAGTTTAATTTATAGCAATGTGAAATATAATTAAGTCAATGCCAGGGTGGTCCAGCTAGAATTACCACCTAACCAGCATCAAAGGCAACCAGTTTTTTAAAGCAACCAAAGCATGCTACCCGATGTCGGAACTTTTGAACAGTCCAAAAGCTTGCGTACAAATAACTAAAATTATCTCGGATTTATCATTACGATAGGTACTTATCTCCTCATTTCTATATGTTTGTTGGTTAAAAACAAACTTAAAAGGAGGAAAGAACTAATCAATTATTATGTATTTGTCATGTACTTGAATCTAAAATATTTAACGACATGCAAGTCACACGCTACATGACTGCTATCATAAACATCAAAACCTTGTGCAGACGCAGGTAACCAAATAAATACTTCGTACAAACATAAATAACACTTTAGATATCCCATCATTAAATATGACATACGCGTATCCAATTAATTAATATAATTGACAGCTCAAATCAACCGCTGCATTAAATCTGATCACTGTTAGCTAATAAGAACACAGGTTAGGCCGAAGGTAACATATCACCGTCCATGTGATTATAAGGATTTAAAAAGACCATCGCCCCATACATTTTGATCCTAAAGATCTGAATGAAGTTACTTCCAATCGCAATAAGATTATCGTGGTTAATGGATTTAGGCAGAGATCTTCGGCTTCTTGCTCTTGACTTTGGATAGCACAAAGTCATCATCGTCGTCATCAGATCCTGAATCGCTCGCCTTTCGTTTCTTCACACTTGTCTTTAAAACAGTCTTCGTGGTTGTTTTCTTCACAGTTTTGACTGAGACGTTAGTTGTTCTCTTAACAGAAACCACCTTTAGCGGTGACCGGAGCTTCCCCTGCTGGCTTAGCTTCTTCTCGTACACTTTCTTAGCTTCCGCTGCTGGAAGTAATCCCCATTCCATCATCCTAAATAATGAAAAATAATTGTTATCACCCATACTCTATGGAAAGAATTTGATAATTGGAAAACTTTTGGAACAAAGAAAAATACCCAGAGATATGACAGTTACAACCTATGCTGATCAAACATTCACAGTAATATCTTGACAAAAAATGCGTAATACAACCAATACAAATGATAGATCGGGGGGGAACTTACTCAAGCATATAGTAATGTTAAAGTGACCTAAGGAGAGAGGAAACTCGCCAAGGATATTATTAGCGGCATAAATTGTCAAGTCTGTAGTTCCTTTCTAGAAGAGTACATATGAACCAAGTATATATCATAGTCTGTCAACAAGATTTTGCATGACCTCCAAGTTTCTCTTAAGAGTCAATTTCTTCACGGCAGGTGTTGCATGAAAATTAGAAACCAAGTAATCCGAACTATCTTCTTTGCAAGTTTAGAGAGCCTAATTAAATGTCTAGATTCATGTTTAAGGTTTAACAGAAGTTATGAATTCAGAATGATGGTTCTCAAACCAAAAACTACAGTAAACTGTAGGGCTACCTGTAACTGAGGAATAATACTAAAGCCAAAGAGATAAAATCAAGAGGTGGAGATTGTTGCTATATATTCATATTTATTACAAACAATGCTCAAGCACATATAAGTCATAAACTAGACCCAGGCAGGAAACCCAAAACCTTACATTTTCCCTTCAGAAGTTCTCCACTACTTTCTTTTGTTACTACTTGCTAGTTGCTACATACACTGGGACCATATATGTTCAGTTATAAACTCAAGGAAGGATCCTCGAATTCACGTTTGGCTCAAAGTTGCTAGAAATGCCTTGTCCAACAATCAAACTATCGTACTCCAAAAAGTTCAGGATAAAGGCATTTAAGATGAAGTCTTCTTTTTGATCTTCATTGTCTGATGATTTCTGTCATCAGCTAATAGTTTGATTACAGATCATTCATGTCCTCTTAAATGAGTGACTCCGAAACAAGCCTAAAGTACTTTGCAAGACAGCTACAGAATTGATATTCAATAATATAGTATTGCGACAATAATTGTATTCTTCAAGAACCTTGCCCATGTCTTGCCTTCTACTTTCAAGTTTGAGTAAGCTTTTGTATTTGAACACTATGACGATTTAAACAACCCAAACAAGAATCAAGAGGGTAACTCAGGCATGAGGCACCGACGGAAATATCAATGACTTACTATGGTTATCCAATGTGTGTATAAACACCTGAACGCAAATACCATCAAACAGAAGTTATACAAAAATTATTAGTAATTGGAGTCTTGAATATCAATCCTAGCAGGCAATGGCACGAGAGCTAAATTTGTAAAGTATAAATGATACAGTTCGGCAAAGCTAACGCATTGCAGGAAGAAGAGTCAGAAGTGAAGGAAGCGGAGAAAAAGATGATGTTTCATTGGTGGCTATCATACTGATGCCAACAACAAGTTGGTGTCAAGCTCCCAGACAAGAAAATTGTGGGCAAGAGTGAAGCTGGGATAAACTTTGATGGTGATTCACATTCTAGCAAGTACGCAGACCTACATTTAAGAATGTAGTTTAAACTCATGCAACCAACAAGCAACCTTACAATTCAGCTAGATGAGAAAAGTATAACGGCAAAGATGCAAGATTACAAGATTTTTGCCAAAAGGGACCCAAATTTGTTTAAGAGGCACATAATAGGCAAAGAGTCAAATTGGGTTATGTTCCTTAATTAATTGCATAATCATACGGGTTATTGTGCTAAATTGGGTAGTCTTGTGTTCAAAATGAAGTATTGTGTGAATCTTGAGTTTAAACATGATTTTTCATGGAGAAGCTGCCCAGTATCAGTATGATAATCATCTATAATTGAAGTGAAGGTTCTACATGATTAATACATTTCTATCGATCCTCTGTTAAGCAATGGCGTCTGTTGAATAGTTAAGCAATTAGGAAATGTATAAAGTTTTAAACAGATCCTTTATGAACAAAGTAATCAGAAAATAAATGTCAGCTTTTAGATTGAGAACATTTTATTATATCCTAATTTCTGATATAGCCATGCATCATCCAAGATCACTCAAGACTTCACAATTAGTTAATCTTTATGTGAGTAGTCAGAAGCTTATGTTGCTGAGAGAGAAATCTTTCTCATGGACTCAAATCTAGAAGGATGGGAAGATAGCATCCTTATTTATCTGAATGAACGATACATTAATAATAGAGTAAATGTCACAGGACAAATGAAATCAATAGGTTGTTGGTGAACACATACATCTTCCAGATAAGAATATGTCATGTGGCAATATGTGTTAACTGAGTGCACCGTAGCATATATATGAAGCATATATAGCTGTATATGTGCCAATACATTTACAACAAATGAAAACAGGGGGAAAATACAATATTTGGAAAATATTTTTAAAATGTAGAAAACCTACTATGTCCAAATGATGCATATGCTGATGAGCATTGATAACTACCTATGATGTGATACACGACTAAGAGAGTTGAAAATCTACAATAATAATTAATTGCAACCAAGAATATCAATAGAGCTACATAAATACCAAAACAACAATTATCAAACAAGAAAACAAATTTAAGTAAATAAAATATGAAAATGAGTAATAGAGCACCATAACATACATTTATAGGGCTTGCAAGCATCTATGAAAGCAATGCAAGTAAAGTGTGAATGACCAATCATCCGTATGCAATGCTAATAATCAAATCACCCATCAAAATGGCACCAGAAGTAGATATCAACGGATAGGTAATATTAATAGTTAGTTAATAACAAAATTACAGTGTGAACATTAATAATAAATTAAATGGCTCACTTTTCAGATTGACACATATGTAGCTGCAGAATCAAATAAATGGAACATCGCCATTTTTGGCTGAATATTACTTTTAGAACATTCATACAATTTAGCCACCACATCATAGAATTTGATATGAATTTCTAGTTGTAAATAAATCAACAAGTCTTTCCTAATAAGTGTTATTCTCAATTGCTACATGAACACTAAGCAATAAATTTTATAACTTAAGAAGGAACTAACTAATGCAGTATAAAATATTGAATGGAATTAGAATCGAAAGAACTGAGTTTCATTGTGTTGAGGGCATATTAAAGGGTGTCCTTTTCTATATAACCACACATGGCAATGCTGACGAAATAAGAAAAGTCACAAAATGGAGAAAGAAGATATATAGTATAAAAACAGACAACATGATAGTTTTCCTTTAGAGAGATGGTACCTACCCCAAAGATTAACCTTGTTGGCAAACCTTTTAACTTCTCAGAAAAAAGTTTTCATTTTGTATCTTCACACACAGTTTCACTTATTGTTGCGCAAGATGGAAAT